TTTTTTGAACATTTCAAGCATATCAACAGTAAACAGACTACTCCTGATTGTGAAATAGATCAAGAAATGAAAGATTATGATGATCACATTTTAAATGATGATATTACCTTGATAGAAGTGACACATGCTATCAAAAAGCTAAAACGAAATAAATCTTCTGGTATTGATGGCATTGAAAATGACTATCTTATTGATTCCTCTGATCTACTTGGTCCTTTGTTTGTTGATTATTTCAATTTGATATTCTCCACAGGAATAATGCCTGAAGCATGGTTGACTTGCACTATCAGACCTATATACAAAGGTAAAGGCCAGAAATCAGACCCCAATGCCTATAGACCAATCACTATTTTAAGCTGCTTTGGAAAGCTTTTCACTAGTATATTGAACAACAGACTGAACATTTTCTTGGGAACAAACAATATTTTAACCCCTGCGCAGGCAGGTTTTAGGAAAGAACATTCCTCAAACGACAACATATTTGTTTTGAACATGCTTACTCAGATTTTAAAGACCTGTAAAAGAAAGTTATATTGTGCGTTCATTGATTTTTCTTAAGCTTTTGATAATGTATGGAGGATTGGACTTTGGCATAAAACAGTTAACAATGGAATTACGGGTAAATTTTTTACGCTTATACAAAACATGTATGCAAATATCAAATCTTGTGTATGTTCAAATGATAAGTTCTCAGATTATTTTCAATGTTATTCGGGCGTCCGCCAAGGTGAAAATCTTTCGCCTCTTTTATTTTGTTTATTCATAAATGATTTAGAACAATTTCTCATCGATAACAGTTGTAAAAGTGTTATGCTCGAGAATGTAAACATACAGTTATGTCTATCATTTATTGTACTTCTTTATGCCCACGACACTGTCCTGTTTGCTAATTCCGCATCCGAACTACAGAGTACCTTAGATTCTTTTAGCAAATACTGTAAAATCTGGAAATTAGAAGTGAATCTTGATAAAACGAAAGTCTTAATTTTTGGAAGTGGCCCTGCTAATAATAGTAAACTTAATTTTGTCTTGGATCAATCTCAAATTGAAATTGTAGATAACTATACTTATCTTGGAGTGACATTTAGTAGAAATAGGAAATTTAATCTACCAATCAAAAACCTTGCAACAAGCGCATCCAAAGCAATGTTTTGTCTTTTAAAAAAATCTAGAAATCATAATATCCCGTTGGACTGTTTACTTAAGGCATTTGATGTTATGATAGCCCCAATTCTTTTGTATGGCTGAAACTTGGGCATATGAAAATTTAAATATAATTGAAAAAAAACATTTGAAATTTTGAAATTGGACAGAGGTTTACTTAAATTCTACCCCTACTTTTATGGTATATGGAGAACTTGGAAGATTTCCTTTATATATCACTGCAGCTAAGCGTATTATTTGTTACTGGCATAAACTTAATAATCCTGGAATGCAGCAGAAATTATCAAAACTGATCATCAATTATGCATATGCACTAAGTATCTTTGAGAATGTGTTTTGATCCCTGGATGCATCATGTTAAATCTTTATTAGATAAATGTGGCTTATCTTTTGTGTTCTATAACCCTGTAAGCATTACCATGCCAATGGCTAGTTTCACAAAGTGGAGACTGTATTAAAAGACCAGTTCCAACAAAGTTGCAAAGCTGATATTGAAAATAGCTCTAAGGGATTTTACTATAAACATATTAAAGATACTCCCATATTTGAAAACTTTCTTCTCTTCCCAGCTTATATTTACTATCCCAGAGAAATACAGAACCTGTAATCACAATCTCCCGGTAGAAACTGGTCGTTGGCATGGTATCCCTAGAAAAACAGAACATGTAAATTTTGCAACTCACCAGCAATAGGCTAATTTTAATTTCATTACTTATTTAAATGTGAAGCCCTTACAGATATTAGATTGAAATATTTAGCAAATAGACATATGTACTTCCCCAATTTATCAACATTGAAGAAAATATTTAATAGTAGAAATTCAAAAGAAATAAGAAATCTATCCAAATATCTGCTAGTATTAGATAAACTCTTTGTCAAAAATGGTTAAACCACAATCAGCTCTTTCTATAGACAACAAATCACTTAACAGATCTTAATTTATGGCATTATTATGTTTCATTTTAAACTGTTCTACCTGTCATTTTGTCATGTTGATTTATATGTATTTAAATGGATTATGTTTGATTTTCTCTTGTACCACCAAACGTGGTTATTTGAGAATAAACTGAACTTGAACTTGACAAACGTTCAATATGAGGATAGATGGGCCTGTTATTCGGGCTGGTGTGTCAACAGGGGGATTCTTGATCCCTTTTCTGCTGATTTAGTCTCTGTGTTAGAATGCCTACAGTCTCGGTTGGACGCCGGTCTAGCGGCTTCAACTGTTCGAGGATATTCTACGGCTATTTCTGCGTTTCATATTCCTGTTGACTGTGCTCCCTTGGGGCAGCACCCTCTTGTACAGCGCTTTTTAGCAGACGTGGACAGAATCCGTCCGGTTGTCCGGCGGATTAGTCCCCCGTGGGACTTGTCAATCGTTCTTGATTGGCTGTCCGGTCCACTATTTCACAATCTGTCGGCTCTTTCACTCCAGCTGTTAACGTGGAAGACGGCGTTTCTTGTGGCGGTAACTTCAGGCAGGCGGGTTGGTGATATTCACGCAATGTCGGCCGATCCCGCGCTCAGTTTTTCACAAAGACAGAGTGAGCATACGGCTGCCTGATACTTACCGTCCTAAGAAGGATAGTACCTTCCATGTGACGGCGCCTATTGAGCTCCCGGCTTTCACTCAGCCTTCCCTGCCCGGTACATCTCTACGACGTGCTCGCGTCTTAGATGTCCGTAAGACCCTTAAGGCTTATATCAAACGAACAAGGGGTACCCGTAAGGATAACCAATTGTTTTGTTGTTATGGCGGGGTTAAGGCTGGTCTTCCGGCGACCAAGCAAACCATTTCTCGGTGGCTTGTCTCTGCTATACATATGAGCTATACTCACACAGGGCGTATCCCGCCTGTAGGATTGAAAGCTCATTCGGTTAGGGCAGATGCTACGTCGAAAGCTTACGCTGCAGCCATTGAGGAGAGCTGCTCCGTGGCTATTTGGAGCCGACCGAGTACGTTCATCCGTCATTACCAACTTGACAGACTCTCCAGTGAGCGTGCTCGGTTCGGTCAGTCAGTTCTCTCCAGTGGGCATGGTTCCACCTCTCTAGCCGATTGAGCTTTTGAGGATTTTATGACATGAACCATTATATGCCGATTTTTAACACTGGTGTTGGGTTTTAAAAAACTTGTTTACGTATCCCCTTGGTGACGGGTTTTATGTGGTGATGTTTTTTATTCCCATGTCTTTTCATTACTCCGTTCTGCTCTAGACTTATTTGCATTGGAAACTTTGCTTAATAGATGTATTACGGCAGTTTGTTTCTTGTGGCTTATTGCGGGACCCCTTATCTTCACTTCCGATTGATTACGGGAGGGAGGGAGGGTTTATCTCGACTGTTTACATTAGCTAGGTTTTCGCATTGTAATTATAATATGTTCGACCCTGACCCTGGCTCATGCCCCCGCCTGATTGGCTATGGTGGACACGTGACCGGGTAAGTGAGCTTTTTTCTGCTATATTTAGCTTGGGAAATTCCACTTCTTGTCGGGGGTGTTTTATGCAGACAGAATGCCACTCCTTAGCTCCGTCTTTAGGACTCTGTCTTATGCTTATAAGTACCCCAAGGAGGAATATATAAAAAAGAATCGAACTAACCTGTAGCGGTTTCAGATTCTTTGAATATATTCCATCTTGGGGTACGCCCGCCCACCTCCCCACATTCTGTCTGACTTCGTTGGCGGGGCGGTGGGGTAGCCTAGTGGTTAAAGCGTTGGCTCATCACGCCGAAGACCGGGTTCGAATCCCCACATGGGCACAATGTGTTAAGCCCATTTCTGGTGTCCCCCGCCGTGATATTGCTGGAATATTGCTAAAAGCGGCGTAAAACTAAACTCAGTCAGTCGTTCAGCATGGAAAGTGAGGTGCGAGGTTACGGTCTAGAGTTACCTGCTCTTGGCTGTAGGGGCCGGAGGGCCCTGTAAGGGTGATCTCACAAGACAAAACGTAGTTTTTGTTTTGTAAATATTTTTATTCAAATATTGTTACAACTGTCGTAGGGATTTAAAATGGACATTTAAAGGGCTGTTTACACAAACATCCTGGAGCTGTAAGGCATCCGTGCAGTTGGTCAGTTTCGCTAAAGAGGTCAACTTGTCAGCTTTCTAACAACAACATAGTTTCAGCAGAGACCCATGCATACATGCTTATAGTTAGTTGTTAAAAAAACAATATCGTCTGAGAAAAAATGGCGTCATGTTTGAACTTCGCCGACAGAGTGTTTCATGGGTCATTTATCACAACAAAGGATCAAAGGGTTGTTTTCATTACTATTATTTCTGCCATGGACTGGTATACCGGTAGTTATAACAGTCAGACGGCAGTTATCACTGGCTACTAGGAGTTTTGCCGATAGCTCAGTGAGTATTGGTCCGACACGTCATGTTTCTGGCCACTTTCTTCTATTAAACCTCGAAATTAAAATTGTCTAAAATATTTATATATTTTAGGCCCCCAAAACTCGAAATTTATATCACCTCGAAAGCTCTGGGGGTCTCAAACCTCGAAATTTTAGTACCTTGAAAATTTCCCGGTATACAGTATAGTTCTCCACAAGTCTAGAATGATGTGAAAAGTTTGGATTACCTCAGCTCAAGGAAAAATAGTGATCTTTCTGATTCTATTTGGATTTTTTCATGAATGTTTTTAGATATGATAACCTTGCCTCTGGAACTAATTGCCTCTCTAGATACTAGATGTCCATATTCATTTTCAGATTATGTCTATGTAAGATATATAAGTATTGCTTCATGTTGATGTGTTAATGACAGTCATGTACTTTGATTGTTGTCTAGTGGCTTGTTGACTGATTATTGACCCTTTTACATGAAGGTGAAGGACGTTATGTCCCCGGGTCAGGTGCGGCACCTGGAGCTGGAGCTGGAGCAGGAACTGGAGCCACCCATGGAGCTGACCCCTTCACTGGTGAGGAAACTGTCACAGAGTTAAACACAATACTGTAGCATCTTTACAGGATGCTTTTGGTGCTTAGTATGTCATTGATAAAACCCCAGCTGAAAAACAAGTGAGACAGGGACATATCTATTGGCCATACTTATTCTTTTATATTGTCCTCAAAACTTACTAAAATGGAGATTGATGGTTTCAGTATTTGACCCAGCTGATTGTGAGGTAAACACGTTTTTGATTGGCCGAGGATTGATCATTTACAGGCTGCTCTACAATAGCTAACCATGCCATAAAACAGCAGTCTTGTTCTCAATTGGATCTAATATTTTGCATTATCAGCCTGATTAATGAATGCTCATGGATATGCTATGTTTAAATGACCTATCGGTGACAGAGAGTTATGTCAAATCTGCTCTCCTGCTATGCTGCATGCAAAAGGTTTGGAAATAGTAAGAGTTTCCCATTGAATATCTGCATGGTGAAATGACTTTGTGTTTCAGGCTCTGGCAGTTATAAACCAGCTGGCAGCAGCAGCAGCAGCACCACCACCACCTCCACCACTACCTCCAGCAACTCCTTCTTCCCAATCACATCCTTCCTCACATTCGACCAGGCCAACCCCACACAGATTTTAGGTATGAATATTATGAGGTTCTTGTAAACTTACAACTTACATTACCAGAGAATTACTTTATACAATTTGTTGTAAGATGATGTTTGATGTGATTCTCTTTTCCCCAGTAAGACATCAGCTATCCTTGGTCAGGATACCCAATGAAGTTAATGACCCCAGTCAGTGGAAACAGTGCTCTTTAGGGAGTCTACACATTGACTGCATAATCCAGTAACAAGTCCTGTGGCAATACAATTTTGGTTTTGTTCAGGCAAGATAAAGGAGTTCAACGGGACAGTTGGAGACAGCTTCAAGGTGCCAGACTCCAGTATTGATGACTTGGCATCTCTCATTGAGGGTCAGTCGGCCTCTCAACAACAGCTGCAGACAGTGCAGAGGTTGCTATCCTGGCCAGCAAGTAAGTATCTCTGGCTCATTGCAAGGTATGACAGTATCATCAAGTGAGTAACTTCTCTGGCTTGTGGGCAGGTATGATGGGGTCATCATGTTAGTAGCCTTACTGGCTTACGGGGAGGTATGACAGGGTCATCAGGTTAGTAGCCTCACTGGCTTGTGGATAGGTATGGCAGGGTCATCAAGTTAGTAGCCTCACTGGCTTACGGGGAGGTATGACAGGGTCATCAAGTTCGTAGCCTTACTGGCCCCCGGGAGGTATGACAGGGTCATCAGGTTAGTAGCCTCACTGGCTTGTGGATAGGTATGGCAGGGTTATCAAATGAGTAGCCTCACTGGCTTGTGGGGAGGTATGACAGGGTCATCAAGTGAGTAGCCTCACTGGCTTGTGAATAGGTATGGCAGGGTCATCAAGTTAGACGTCTGAATGGCTTGTGAATAGGTATGGTGTGGTCATCAAGTGAGTAGCATCTCTGGCTTGTGGGGAGGTATGACAGGGTCATCAAGTGAGTAGCCTCACTGGCTTGTAGGGAGGTATGACAGGGTCATCAAGTGAGTAGCCTCACTGGCTTGTGGGGAGGTATGACAGGATCATCAAGTGAGTAGCCTCACTGGCTTGTGGGGAGGTATGACAGGGTCATCAAGTGAGTAGCCTCACTGGCTTGTGGGGAGGTATGGTAGGTCATCAGGTTAGTAGCCTGAATGGCTTGTGGGGAGGTATGGTAGGTCATCAGGTTAGTAGCCTCACTGGCTTGTGGGGAGGTATGGTAGGTCATCAGGTTAGTAGCCTCACTGGCTTGTGGGGAGGTATGGTAGGTCATCTAGTTAATAGCCCGAATGGCTTATGGAAAGGTATGGCGGGGTCATCAAGTGAATAGCTTTTCTGACTTCTGGGGAGGTATGGCTAGGTTGTGAAGTGTGTTGTTGGGGAGTTGTGGAGACATCAAGAGGAATGTGTTGATCAGGGGGGCACCAACATGTGTGATGTGTAGATGGGGGAGGTGTAATGGTGTCATCACGTGTGTTGTTGGGAAGTTGTGGTGGTGGCATCAACATTGGTGCTTCATTCAGTCCTCACTATTTTCTGATTGTTACACTTTTCCAGACTTGGTGTACACCAGAACTAACAACCAATGTATATTCAGCTCACATTCTTCACTGATTGTTACAATGTTGGTACAGATGTGGTGTTCCCGGCTCTAGATGTAGTGAGGGTATGTGTGAAGCATCCCCAGGTCAACCAGGTCTTCAGCAACCAAGCCTCAGTACAACAACTGATTTCCTTCATCAACCCTGACAAACCACCTGCCTGCCAGATGCTGGCTCTGAGATGCCTAACCAACATGTTCTCCCAGTCGCAGGGTAGAACAGCTTTATGTGAGAATAGAGACACTCTCTTAGGATCTGCATTGACCTGCAAGAAAACCAACAAGAATGTACAGATAGCCATTGCTTCTGTCATACTGAACTACACAATTGCTCTTCGTGGAACAGAGGACATTGAAGGGAAATCACAATGCCTCTCTGCAGCTCAAAGTATTCTCGAAGCCTCACCAGACCATGAAGCAAGTTTTAGAATCATTGTGAGCATTGGTACGATCCTCTCTGGAGATGAGGAAGCATTAGCACTAGCTCAGTCTCTGGACCTTCAGAATCCCATAGTCAGGCTAGTGAAACTCACAGAGCCGAAGAAGGTGCCGGAATGTGCTCAGCTGGTTCTTAACATTTTGAAAGTTTGAATGCATGTTCTGATGTAAATGAATGTGATATTTGTAAAGGGAGTGTTCACCTCAAGCATGGAATGGATGAATAAAGAGGCATAAGGCCATATAACTGAAACTCTATAGGCTCTGACTGTCAAATTTATTTAAGAATTTACAATATATTTCTGTATTTGGAGGTACAAACAATAAGAGCCAGTGTGCCCTCTCAACTCTGTTTATACCAATATATAGACAATCAAACAACATTTATGTCAACAATAAGTGGAAATAACCTTCAACTGCATTTTAACCATGAGCAGGAAACTTTTAGAAAACTTTACAAAGTTGATTAAATTGATTGAGCACAATACAGAACAGCAAAGAAAGTAGTTGTTATGGAAACATAAAGCTAAAAGACATGATTTGTTGAATCCAATGATTTCTTTGACTTTGGGACGGATATGACTGACTGATTTTGGTTTTACGCTGCTTTTAGCAATATTTCAGCAACATCACGGCGGGGAAACACCAGAAATGGGCTTCACACATTGTACCCATGTAGGGATTCGAACCCGGGTCTCAGCGTGGCGAGCCAAGACTTTAACCGCTAGGGTACCCCACCACCTCGAGAGGGATATGAGACTTCCTTGGCTGGTAACAGTACATAAGTAATCAGTTTGGTTCGTCTGATAAAAGGAATGTAATAAGTTAGGTTAAGCTTGATTAACTATCATTGTACTACATGTACATTATATGCAATGTTTTCACAACAGGACCTGGTTAATAGAAGCTTTGTAAATGGCTTTTTAACAGAAGGAACATTTAGAGACATTTGTGTAAAAATTAATTGAATAAATATTTGTTATCATTCTTTATTATGTCTATGATGTTGAAATAGTTTAATCTTCTCAGTTGTAAACATGGATTACTTCTGCCTACAATGCTGAATGGTTTAACATGTGCCTCATTCATAAGAGAACTGTCTGTCTGTTAAGTACCACTTTATACTTTTCACATTACTGCAGTTAATCTGTGTTTGCATTAAGGATTTACTATGATAGTATGAAAATAATTGGTGATCCTTTACCTTTTTTCGGTGGTATATTAGTGTTTCTATTTAAATATTACTTTATTAAAATGGAAGTGATTTTGTTTTGACAATTTCCGAACAGTTGGAGAATTTGAACAGATTTATCATTAATTGATATATTTCTTTTCTCGGTTCAATGAAATCAGTTGTGTGGAGTAGTATGTATATGAACTGTTACTCTTGGTATGTTCCTCACCGTGACCCGTATGTCCAACCCCATTTAGGTGTTGGCTTGGCTGAATTACAGAATTACATTACTGATTGTAAGGTCCCATATGATGGCACATATTGTGCATGATGTGAAGTGTCATTGTGATTAGGTTATGTTCATATTGTATATATTAGTAAGAGGTCCATTCAAATCATTTACTTCCTTTATTCTTTATGAGTGGTATAGAAAAGGTCAAAGCACATCAACACTCTAAAACCTAGACGATTCCACACAGAATTAGGCGAACTGAAGAACAAGAAACTTATGAATTACAATCAGGAAGTAATCAGTCATAATCTGACCTTAGGTCATCACCATGAACTAGCCAATCATTCATACTCTAGTATTTAATTTGATCTTGGATATGTTTGATTCCTGTTTTCTTCAGTGTATTTCAGTCTCGATTTCAGCGCGCCTATGACAGAATGTGACATTGTGACATAACAGAAAAAGCCATTAAGGTGACCTCAGTATTCATACTGTCAAACTGGATAGTATTTTATAACATAAAATAGGTGTGTTTACTGACGCAAATATCATCTGCGTTTATAAACATTGACCTCAGAGATTGATGCTGCATTTCAAACACTTGTATACTTCACAGCAATATTCGTACATCACTTACACGGTCATCACTGATTAAATACTCTAATTACATATTTAACACTAGACCCATGCGCTAATGTCAGCAACATTCCTAAACGCAATTAGATACCAGGTCTCACCTTCATGATGGTCTCTGATTTGGAACCTGCACGGGGTCACTAATTCAGTAATTTTTATAAAGAAATATGTATGTCAAAAGTTGTCGCATGGATAAAACTCTTGTCAGATATTACTTCAGTTCATTGAAATCCTGGCCAGTATCTGAACAGTACTGAAATTTCTGTGAATATATCCCAGTCAAAGAGTGCTTTATATTTCAATTTGTTTTAATACCTGAATAATGATTCAGATTATCTAGGGTAGAGAACATAGCCGAAATCTGGATGTCCGATTGAAATCAGTAATGATACCCTGGGATATATCTGCATCTGGTTCAGCACATACAAAACCATACCCATTTGAATTAATAGTACTGTTTCACGTACAATGCGATATATCGCACGGCAACTTTTTATATATTTTTTGTGTCGTTGCATAAAGACTAATTGAGGAGACGATTATCAAGGTTCCAGTCATACAACACCATAACCATTGTTAGATAGCGTCAGTAGTTGAGACCTCGGATACCCGGACCCCAGATATCCGGAAACCCCACCTTCCGGTCAATTTTTAGAAAAAAACAATCTCTTACGTTATAAAAGTGACTGTCTATAACGGATATTCGGTTTCCGTTTCCGGACGGTACATTTTACAAACAAACCGGCTAAATCAACAAAAGAATTGACTCACCTATCCGCACGAAGCTTTGATCCACCGCTAACAGTGTGAAGGGAACCACATGTTTTGACACGAGACATGGTCTGCTAATCCGGATCAAGGCATTGTTTGTGTTTAGAAGGCCTAGCTGACACTGAGTTCTATTCAGTCAAAGCAATAAAAGTGCATTGTGTCGATATTCATGTCAGTTGGTCTTTCAATTGATCACAAATGGCTAGTCAACCTACTAAACGCAAGCGCTACGCAGTGACACCCAAGGCAAAGAAAGAGATATGTCTTGACAAAGAACAAAATCCCAAAGTAAGCTTTGATAACATAAGCAAACATTTTGGACCAGTATTTGGACATGTGATTGGAAAGTCGACGATCGACAAAGGAGCGGCACCCAGTGTAAGCCGTCCTCAATGAAAGACTTTTTCAAAACTGAATAATTGTAAAGGTATGATTGTTATGTTGTGATGCTGTTTTTGAATGTCTATACATGTACAATAAACGCTTGATGATCATTAACATTTTGGATTTTCCTTGAGGTGTATGAAAACCAAAAATCCGGATTTTCAATTATCCGGACGATTTACGTAAAAACGAATGTGTCCGGATATCCGAGGTCTCACCTGGAATATTACTGAGTGCGGCGTAAACCTAAACTCACTCACTAGGTGACGTCAACAAGATGTACATACGGGACTGCACATCGTGATAAGGAAAAAACTGATTACGAGAAAAGGATTGTCATTTTGACAACTAATACTTTTGTATTTTGTTCCGAATTGGACATAAAATTAATGAGCGAACGGGTTGAAAGAAAGCCACTTACGGAGGGCAGGTCGAGATGGCAACACCAAACGGTCGCGGAATATGCCATCTGTAACACCAAGAAAATATACTGTACACCGTGTACATCTTTCCAAATATAACTGCTATTTTTTTAAGCAGAACGTTCGGACATCATCATGTTGAAATACGGTATTACAATTGTGGATTGAATATGAATAAATACGCTTCTGGCCGCCTCTTCCGACAAGCATATGTTGCCGAAGACCAATTCTAACCCGGATCTTCACTCTGTGTGTGTGTGTGTGTGTGTGTGTGTGTGTGTGTGTGTGTGTGTGTGTGTGTGTGTGTTTTAAGGCATGTACAATGTGAATGATCCCACCCCCTTAAGAATAATGTACGAAGTATGTAAGAAGTGCCCCCTCCCGTTGCATGTATCCCCCTCCTTCCGTAATTTATAATCTTAACTTTATCTTTGTGTATCAAATTGATGGGGGTCACCCATTTTGTTTGAGAATTGGGGGAATTCTCCAGAACAAAATGGGTGACCCCCCTTATAATAATCCTCATCACCCACCCACCATCACCCCCAACCCCTAACCATAAATTATGAACCATTGCTAATGCCTGAAATGTAGAAAAAAAATATGGATAACAACTATTTCGTGTGTGCGACCGATTCTTGTCCCGTTCTCAAACAGGAACTGACGACAAAAAGAAGTTGTTGTCTGTGAAGTTTGTCAATATTGTACTTCCCAACTTCTAACATGTTACTCAAAGAGGTAATACCTGAAAGCAGTCGAGGTAAAAGTTCAAGCGGTATGTGCGAATGTTAACTTTCGCGACTTGGTAAACTGTTGTCTAGGCATTTTGATGGGGTATGGGTTTTATCGGGAAATATAGACATGTTTGTATATTCTCTGAGTTAAGTTAAAGTTGTGTTATCTAAATTACAGTGATAACAATATAAATGAAATATCAGCAGCTCATTATCATGACCATCAGCACAGCCATGAACAGGTCAGCTGCCTGCGTGTAATTAACCCTAATTAACTTTAAACCGGTTGGCCACGGAAGTTTTAACGTTGTGGATGAGGTGCATGCTGGATACTGCCTGCGGTCCGATGACCATACATGTATCGTGATACGTAGACTAAGGCTTAGTCTCTGAATAAATATAATTTTGATAGTTACAAACAAGCCCATTTTATTTTAAAAGGAGCCCTAGGGAGACCTAGACTTGCTTTATTTAGGGCTTTAGCACTGCAGAGAGGACTTGGCAGTGGGGAAAATAATGTGGTTCAGGGACTGTGAGACAGACTACGTGATACGATACGGAGCAGCCTGACAGTCAGTAGTATATAGACAGTGAATTGTAATGGGACTTGATCCTCGGACAGCGGCTAGGCAGGTTGGGTTGACGATCGCCTCTGTGATGCTGCCTGGCCGTTGCTGCGCTATCATGTAATTGCATACTTAGCTGACAAATAAAGTGTTGTGGACCCACTGCTGGACTTCTGTGTTTGAAAAGACAATATCCCACAAACATCTAACAGCCCAGGACACTGTGTTCTGATTGGTCAATTCAAAAGGTGAGCTGGGGCGACCTACTGGCAGATGCGAAACTGGCCATTTTTCGTGTAAGCCCAATAGGTTTCAAAGCTTCATATTTAGATAATATTAAGGGCTTGACCAACCTTATTAGCTAAAATCAGCTGAAATTGATGTGGGTTAACGAAATACAACTATGGCAGACTTACCACGGTAAGCAATGTTTTCAGAAATGCAACTGAACAAGAAGAGAGCAGATCCGGTTCATCAGCATTACGTGGGAGAGAGCTCTAGGAGTGCCACACAGGTGCGCGCTATGTCGAATGATGAGGCAGCCTCGAGCTGCCGATACCCACGGCCTCCTACAGTCCGTTTGAGTCAGCAACGGACCGATGAATTGCAAATTGTATCATTGTACAAAATTGCCACGTAAATATAAATATTACACATGTTTATCATTTACTAATACCCAACAGCTTTCTTATATTTGAACATTTTCCGGACTCCACCATAAAAGTTGTTTAAGAAAATATCATCATTGAAAACGCAAAAGTTGTTATCTGTCGCGGCGGGGTGAAACCGCAGAAACGGAACAGCCAGTCATGGCGGGGGGACATCTCAAAATCTATTCCGGGAGACCTGTCGGTTCCTCGTCCGTCGTAGTGTCATAGTCACGACTTAAAGGGATGACAAGTGGTGCCACAGTTGCCTGTTGTAAGCCATCCCGAGACCAGTAACCTTGTTCAATGACGTTAGCTACCTTGTTGACACAGTTTTGCCAAGTTTCAGTCATGATTTTGTTAAGGGATTCCTTAACCCAAACCTCTACGTCACGTAATCTGAACGTAATCTGGCAACA